ATTAGATCTTTAAGCACTAGAAAGATGTGATATCATGAATAATTGCTAAGTATATTGAATTTAAGTAAACTTATTTTTTCAATAATTTATTTACTTGAAGAGATTCCTCTTAAAAGAAACAAAGTGTGATGAACAAAATAATTAAATGGCGAAGGACTATTAAAATATAACTTATTATTATTTAAAAAATATTATTATTATATATATTATTATATATACTATTCTAAATAATTCCTCGCCAAGTACCTAAATAAATTATTAAAACAAAATAAGTGTACCTACTTAAATTCAATATACTTAGTACCTATTTATTCATGATATCACATCTTTATATTGCTTAAAGATCTTATATTTTTTTACTTAGCCATTTTTGCATGTAGTTTAAGAAGGGTTTTTGTTGTGTTATCACTAATATTTATCATTATTAAATATTGAGTATTTATACAATAATCTATATAAGAACGGTAATATTGTTGGTTACAATGGCAACGCTGATGCGACGACGCCGACGACGGCTACCGTGATTCTGAATTTAATATAAATTTCCATTAAAAAGTTCGCACTTTTTCATTTATAACTTCATTTCTAAACGTACTATTTAAGATTTTGATGATTTTTACAAAAGCACGTTATACACAATATTTCTGATGTTTTGGAGTTTACTAGGAGTTAATTGATGCATAAGAAAATAGTTATGTCGTATAACAAATTTACCTGTATTTTACACAGTTTAAAATATAGGCAACTCCTGCTTCGATATACTATACACACACCTTCGTGCAGTTATTATTTTTTTTTTTTACTTAGCTCGCGCCACGACCGTATCGGTGGATATAAATAATAATAGTCTTTAGAAAAATTAACGCTCTATTTTGTATTAAGTAAATCTCATATTGTACTTAATTGTACTTTATTGTTATTATTTGTATTTAAATTGAATGTCTAATTTAAGAGCCTCTCACCCAAGCTTTTGCTTATAGGAGGTGAGCAGACTTACTACTGTATTTATAATTTACAATATGTTGGGAATTGTTTGCAAATAAAATAAAATTGTTATTATTAACGCGCTTGAAATTCTAATGCTGCGGGCCGACGAGAACGATAAAAATACTAGCTGGCTAGTAACACACGCCGTCGTCTGGGAAATTTTCTCGGAGATCGGTCTATGTGTTGAACGATTTGTATTTAGCTCATTCTCGATTAAATCCAAACGCAAATATTATCTTCTTTCAAAAAATAAATTATGGCAACAAACTTTAACAACATCGAACGAGCCACAAAAACATAATATTACTGGAAATGGTGGAAGAAATTTTGGTCAACAAGATGGAACTCGCTTTGGCCGATGAAACCGACGAGTATCTCGTTGTCGTTCTTGTAGTCACTCCACTTCTGTCTGCCATTGTTACGGTCGCCACTACAGCGACGTTCAGACCCTGGAGTCGGAGCCCGAAGGCTCGACTCTCGGAGGCGCAGACGGAGAGGAGTTGGCTGAAGACGTCGAGGAGACCGTTTCCCCGCACTGTGGAGGAGTGCCGAGCGGCGACGCGCTGTCGTCTGCTGCAGAGTCGGAGCTCGGCCCGATCCCAGAGACAGCACCGCTCGGCGACGACGACGACACAGTAAGAGAAGACGGAAATTCGAAGGTTTCTGAAGCAGAAGTGGAGGATGTCTTGTGTCCAGAAGACGATGTATCGGATGAAAAAATCGAGACCGCCACAGGAGAAGACCCCCCCCTGGGCGAAGACGCTGACAGGAGATGACGGCGACGGAATGGAGGGGAGGATGCGGGAAAGAGCACGGACGGTGCGCGGCGGTAAGTCACCCGCGCACGTTCTCCGACCTGCACCCGCGGCGCGACGGGTTCGCTGGCGTCGCGCGCTCGGTCGTCGATGACGCGCGAGACCCTCTGGCGGCTCGGCGAGCGCCGGACCGCAGTTACGGTCACGTGATGCGATGGCGGCGGTGGACGGCGACGGTGGACGGCGGCTAGTAGACGTACCGGCGCGGGCAACGATTCCGACCCGACGGTACACCGACTCGGTACGACGGCGGCGGCGACTCGGTACGACGGCACCGGTGGAGACCTCGGCACGGGGTGAGTGGTACGGAGATTCGAGTGCTAGGAACACGGGGACGTCAGCGGCGCCGGACTCGCAGAAACTTAACCGTTTCAGGGTCTGGAGGCGCGCGGCGGCCGAAGGGACAACGCCAGGGCGAAAATTACCGAAAGTCAAGGATCGCGCTGTGGTCCGCTGGCTCTCGCCTTTTCGCCCAGCGGTAATCTCAAATCGGCCGCTTCGATCGTCCCCACCGGATCCGCAGCACAGAATCTCATTTCGCTGGCTCCACGTCTTGGTCTTCGCCGTCCGTCGTCACGAGTCGTCACGCCGTCGACCGTCGACGCGCACGACATCGCTCACTAGTCGCCGTCCATCGCCGTCAACCGTGGTCGCAACCGTGGCCGTCTCGGTCTGGCCTCGCCGGCTGGGCAAGGTCGTCAAGCGTCCGAGCAAACGCGCCAGCGACACTCGTCAACCCGCGGGACAGGTCGGAGAACGTGCAGAGGTGACCAGTGGCCAGCAACACTGCATTTCTGCACCAATCGCCATCTCGCATCCTCCCCCCCTTGTTTATTGTGTCTATCCTGTCCGTCGTATTTTTTTTTTTAAATTTAAGTTATTCAAAATTCAAAATTGTTAAATTGTTCACACATATAAATTTCGATTTTTTTTTCTTATTTGCGGCCCTTTTCTTATAATAAACATTTTTGATGTGAACAAAAAAATATTGTTTCATTTTTCGTTTAGTTCAATTTTTACAGATTTAACGACTAAAAAAACGTTAAAATATATATTTTAAATAAAAAAACTCGTTGGTCGATTTATACAGAGTACTTATAATGGCCGTAGACCTGCAGTATAAACGCTATACACGGATATTATAATATGTTTCAAGAAATATTCAAGCCATCAAGTACTAAAGGCAACGAATTACTGAGGAATAAATCATAAAATAACGTATTACACTGGCGGATATGACATGGACGGTTATATAAACCATACAAGAATTGTAAATAATATGTATTGTGTAGAACGGTTGAACGTTAATATAGTCAAATTGACTCAAATAGTTGATACAAATTTATTATTACAAAATAATATTTAAAAAATTCAAAATTGTATTCTACGTAGGTAAAATCATAATATAATACTGCATGTCGAAAAATAACATTGTTTGAAAATATTTTGGTTTAGGTTGGAACCATTAAATCCCCACTTATGTGTTAATATATATATATATTTAATTTATATTTTCTACATAATTATTGACTTGAGTTGTAATATCCTAATCCGAACCAAACTTGATACCTATCTTTTGTACTATAGGAAATCACTTTTTGACGATATGTAAGTTTTGACAGTTGAAGGTACAGTGTACACTAATATATTAACATAGGCATAACATTAGATTTTGCACTGAAATAGGTACATCATTATACATACTACAAAGGTAGCAAATATATATTTTAAAGTTAGATCCGAATATAGAATATAAATCAATATTAGTTATTGCTCATATCAATATTGATTATAACACGTCCTTGAATTTTAAAATAACTTTTAGTTAAACATACAATGCCAAAAACAGTGTTTAAACTTGTTAGAATAGAACATTCATTATGGAGCCAGGTTGTATTCTCTAAATAAGTATTCTTAACCCGAATTCCTAAATAAAAATTGGTTTAGGTAGGTACCTATACAGCTGTTTTATTTAACATTTAAAACTCATACCTGAAAAATGTATGACACTGGGACCTCCTTGGCATATTTCTTTTTGTTCAAACAATTGAAGGGTTTCAGTAATTTGCAATGTATCAAGTGGGTACCTATGTTAATTATTGTTGTAGACCCAAATTTTTAGGATTTCGACGCTTTTGATTAACATAATAGCTCACTTTTAAACTATTTGATTCAAAAACAATTTGTTTTTCAATAACAATTTTAGCTTCATTAAATTCTATGAATTTAATCAGCTTATACAATGCAACAATACATCCATCATGATATAATGACCAACCAACTGGCAATAATAAACTTTCATACCACAGTTTTGATTCCTTTAATAAATCATATGAACTATGAAGTTAGGTAGGTAATAGGTATACCTATATAAATTAAATAATCTACATGGTCTATTATGACAATTAATCACAAACATACTATTAATGTTGGTGTTTGACATAATCTCTTAGGCTTGGGTTCACCAAACAATTCTTTCCTAAATGACTCAGTAACAGGTGTACAAGATTCTCGAGGTTCTGCAGGCAAATCATTTGTTTTGTAAATATCAAATGGTGAATTAAATACTGATGGAAAAGCACCATTTTTAGCCCAATTAAATTCCTTTTAAACTGTGTATAGAATTATTGAGTTATAATTTATAATTTATAATGACCGAGTAGGTACTAATATAGTACCTACCTAAATGGCTGAATACAAATAATTATGTTTTCTTACTTCCAAGTCATTACACCCACTATAACTGTTAATCAAATCTTCTTTCCTAAAATGTTCTATATAGACGTATGTCACTTTACGTTTATGATTACCATTTACTTCATTAATAACTTCCTCCCACGATTCTCGAACTTTAAACAACTGAACATTGGACCGTTCCTTAGTGGTACATAAAAATACTGAACACTGGCGAGGCATTTTAATTTTATAATTTCAACACAAATGTAGAAAATAGTCGTAACTATTTAAATAAATCAAGCAGTAGATCTAGACGCTCTAGTAAGTAGTAAGCAGTGGTGTATCCAGAATTTTTTTTTTGGGGGGGGGGGGTTAATAAAAGTGTAACATATAAAATTATATTGAATTGTGTGTTTTTATTATAATAAATTATCATACATTAAATATTTTATAAGTGTATAACTATTTTACAACGCTGATTATAAAAAGTTGAAATATGTAAATATTTTTTTTTTTTTAAAACTATAAATTTATATTCAATTTTCGTTTCGTTGAAATATCTTTTAATGCTTCAAAAGTAGAAACTAAATTTTTTGTATTATCCAATAAATCTGAAGCCGGAATTTGGGATGATGTCGACGGTAAGGAAATTTCATTATTTTGAATAACGTTGTCGTCAAGTTTTAGTTTTTTAATAGCTTGCGGAGATGTTGAGGCAGTAGAGCTGAAGTATTTCAAAATGTTATTCTTTGATTCTTTGCTCATTTTATGTGCAGTAATAAATAAATTATAAGACGCTAATACAAATCGAAAGCACAGCACAACAGTTGTTCCGCGATCAGTGTAATCACTACAGAGTACAGACTGACCAAACATTTCAATACGGGCAATTTGAAAATTTAATACAAGGCTCCTGCTTTATTGTTACAATAGCAGTTGAAAAATATTAAAAATCCTTAGTCATAGTTTTTTTTATAAGCATTTAAAGTTCGAATCTTGACAAAATACGGAAAAATCACAAAACTTAAAATTTTTCTGAATGTTTTCATTTTTTACACACCAAAAAAATTTGAAAATATTTTGCCTCTTTTTGAGCTATTTACGGACATTGACAGTTTTCATTTTTCTTAGTTTTTTTCTATAAATATCAATAAAAATTTTTTTTTGGGTAAAAAAGCGTGAAAATTTAATTCAAGGCTCCTGATATTATATTGTAACAATATTAGTTGAAAAATATTAAAAATACATAGGCTCAATTTTTTCTTATAATCATTTAAAGTTCGAATTTTGACAAAATTTATCAAATTTAAAATGTAATAAATATTTTGTAATTAAAAATTTATAAAATGTTCAACTTTCATAGTTAAGGATTGAAAATTTAAAACAATGGTCCACGTAAATAGGTAAATATATAAATTACTTTATTCACAATAATATCATAGGCTGACTGACCGTTTTCGCTTAGAATCGTTTTTCTTATACAATGATATTATATCATTGAATTCAAATTTTACACCATCCATTACAGTACCTACTGTACGTCTGTACAGCAGAGCGACATCCACTTTACCACTTTTTTATTTTATTGTGTGACTATGTTGATCATTTTGTTCAGCCCCTCCCGAAATAAAATTCTGGATACGCGCCTGGCTGTAATGCTGTATAGAAAATTAAAATATAAACATTCAGTGAAATTTTCATGTATCTACAGTAATTCCGACTTTATGAATTATAACAAAACAAGAAAATCGCTACTTGAAAAATCGAGTAAATATTCAATGTTGTAAAAATACGAACGCTCATAAAAATTTAATTTGACTTTCTTCATTTTTGTAGAAATTTGTTTTTTTGATAAAGGTAGACAAACTTATGAGGAATCTTGTATTGAATTTTCAAGAAAATTTTTTATGAATTTCTAACTCAAAATAAATTCCAAAAGTTCTTGATTTTTACAAGATTTTTGAACTTTAATTGAGTATAAAAAAAAATTGTGACTGTATTTTTAATATTTTCAACTGTCATTGTAACAATATATTATTATTTTATGTCCAAACGGTGATGACGGACACAAAAAAAAATGAATAAAAAAGAAAACACACATCATTGTGAAATCAATGCATTAATCGCTCCGCTCAGAATCTAAAAATATTACCCATATTAGATACTATAAGTTTATATAGGTAGTATATTAATTTTATTGTATTAAAATAAATTATAATTTTTTATCACGTACGTATCAATTGTAGATTATATATGTATCATTTCTTGTTATCACTAAAAGATAAGTCATTGCCCTTGGACTTTCTTTATTTTTTATGGTGATTGCTCGTGACTACAATTAGTCTAAAACTGACTACTGAGTGTACTGCATAGATAAGTGTTAAGTGTACCTGTAACCTGTGTACTGTGTGCTGACTGAATAGTTAATTTTGTTATTAATTAATTATTAGCCGGCATTTATTACTCATTTGTTATAATATAAAACAAAACACTCCACATGTTGTTTTTAGTTACTTGTACATTTTAATTATTTTCTTAACGATTTATATTTTTTTTAACAATATGAATTTCCCTGCACTCAAAAATGATCGTATTCTGCGAGCAGCTAGAGGTGAAGAAGTCGATCGTATTCCAGTATGGGTAATGCGACAGGCTGGTCGATATTTACCAGAGTTCAGAGAACTGCGATCGCGTTACGATTTTTTCACTATATGCCGAACACCAGAGCTCGCATGTGAAGTCACTCTGCAACCAATTCAGAGATACGACCTCGATGCTTCCATCATTTTCAGCGATATCTTGGTCATTGTTCAGGCATTAGGCATGATTGTTGAAATGCAACCTAGTGTTGGACCTGTAATTCCAGATCCTCTCAAGGAACCTATAGATTTAGACAGACTAAACCAATCAATTGATGTTAAACAAGAATTAGGATATGTATTTGAAGCTATAACATTGACTAGACATCGATTAAATGGCCAGGTAAATTGTAGAACATATTATTATCTCGTTGACATTAAAGATGCCAAAAAGTGTTGGAAACCTCTTCAATTAATCTATGATTAAAGTTTGTATAGACTGAGTCAATAAATATAGTTTTACTGAAAAACAACTAGTGAAATTGAGTTCGGCCATTCCAATTTTGTGTTGTTAGCTTTAAAATTAAACTTAAATAGTGAATTGACCTATGATTACATTTAAAAGTAAAAAAAAAATATCTATGTTATATCGTAGGTTTTTACAATATATTTTAATTGTTAAGCAAGTTATGAGCATTTTGAAACATAAATATTAAATATTTTCCACTTGATTAAAAATTAAAATAATGTGAAAAACCTACACGAGAACACATCACATAATGATGTTTGTTTCTTCAAGTATGGTAATAGGTCAAATTCACTTTAATATTTAAGTTGGGAATACCCAAACACCAAATTGGAACTGTCAAATATAAATGTTGGTTTGATATATATTAGTAAGACTAGAAACAATACATGTGGCCATGTGGGTACAACAAACTCTTAATGAATGGTATTGTGTTTTAGGTACCTCTTATTGGGTTTACTGGTGCTCCATGGACACTCATGTGTTATATGATAGAAGGAGGTGGCTCCAAAACTATGTCAAAGGCCAAAAAATGGTTGTACAAATATCCAGAAGAAAGCAAAAAATTATTACAAATCCTTACAGACATTATAGTGAAATATTTAATAGAGCAGGTGAATGCTGGTGCTCAAATGTTGCAAGTGTTTGAATCAAATGCAGAATACTTAAATTCTGAATTGTTCGACAGGTACCTATTCAAAATAATAAAATAGAAAAAAAAATATATATAATTAAAACAAATTGCAATGTAAAACTTTTTTTTTTAGATTTAGTGGTCCATATTTGTCAGCCATTTGCTCTCGTGTTAAAAATGAGTTGAAGGGTAATAGTGTACCAATGGTGGTGTTTGCGAAAGGAGGTCACTATGCTATGAAACAGTTATCTACTTTTGACTATGACGTTATTGGCTTGGATTGGACAATCGACCCCGTTGAAGCTAGGGAAATTGTTGGTAATAATATAACTTTACAAGGCAATTTAGACCCTTGCTCTTTGTATGGTCCACCTGAAGAAATAAAAAAAATGGTTAAGAATATGGCATCCAAATTTACAAAACACAGATACATTGCAAATTTGGGTCATGGTATCTATCCTGATGTCGATCCTGAACACTTAAGAGCTATGATTGATGCTGTACACGAATGTTAAGAAAATCTATGTACTTTTGTATTGGAACCATACCAGAAATGTAATTTCTATTATTTAGTTGATTGGGTTAAATGGAAAATATTATATTTTTGTAATACAGTGTTATTAAAAAAGTAAAATACGTAATACTTCATTCAAATATTTCCATTTATCTACCTTATGTACCTGATGGGTACATTAAAATATTATATTTTTGATTGTTTTACTCAATACTTCTGGTTAATTTTTTTCTTTTTTTCAAATAATTCTATGTAAACATAAACATAAATAGGTAAGCCATAACTAAAATGTTCTAAATAAAATGACTTGTGATGTTAATATGTTATAAACTATCATATTTTGACTGAACTATGGTCATCTCAAAAAAATAACTAAGAAAATCAAATTTTGAAAAGTTGAAAAATAATAAAAATATTGACTTTCATTGATTTTAGTAGGTTATTAAAAGTTAAGTTTTTCAAATAATGAATTGTTTATTTGAACCTTTTAAATTACATTATTTTAAGTTTGGTAGAGGTAGAAGTTTATTGTCATCAGGAACTTTTCTGATGGGACAGTTTTTGTGTGTTTCACTTATAGGTTCTTTTTGTTAGTAAAATTACATTTCATAACTAGAGTATTATTTATTTATTTATTTATTTATTTATTTAAGGGACGTTAGTCCAATTTACATAATACATACTACATAGTGTATAAATTAGATATAAAAAAAAATTATTAATATTAAAGATAAGTATATACAGGATAACATATTAAATTAATTATATAATAAAGAGAAATAAAGATGAAATATAAAAGTTTATAATAATAACTATTAAGATATTAAGTGATAGAGAAAAAAAATCTAAATTATTTACTAGACAATAAAATATTTATAGGTGTACAAGACATATAATTTTGTGTGTAGGGTTTTATATAAAATAACTAGCTAATCCCGTGCACTTAGTTACCCGTTAAATGTTCAAATTGTATATGACTCAAACTATGTTCAGGTGTATGATATTCTAGATTTATCTGAACTTTTCTGTTCCCCGAAATAAAAATTCTGATTCACAGCAGTAAATTATCAGGTAGGCAATCTACCTGAGGCAGATCTCGAACCCCGTGCTCATGCTGTTTGTACATAAGTGTATGATTTAACCCTAAAGTATCAAAGTTATACCAAGTTTGTTGTTTTTACTTAATTCCACCTACGGTGGATTAATATAATCAATTGATACAAAATCCTAACCTATTAAGGAGTTTGAATGAGAAGATTATATAAAATTATTTTTTTCTATCCGATAATGCTTTTAAATTTAAAAAGTTTAGAGTATTTTCATATTCAGAATGAGATGGTCTGTATGGATTGCATTTTAAGCAGATAAAACGAAGCATATTATTTTGAATTTTTTTTATTGTTCGCAATGGCCTATGTTAAATGTTTCCCAAATTATTGGTGCATATTCAAATATAGGACGAACAATTGAAGTATATAGGCATTTTAGTGTAAATGGGTCATTAAAGCTAGAGCAATTTCGTTTAATCATGCCAATTAAAGACAGGGCTTTTTTTTTTACAGCTAATATATGGAGATTAAATGTTAAAAGTTTAGAATCGAAGATTATTCCGAGATCTTTAACTTGAGTTGAATGAAAAACATTTTGGTTAGAGGACATGTATTCATGAGAAATTAAATTATGTTTTTTAGAAAAAGTGATACACTGACATTTATTAATGTTAAGGGACATGCCATTTGAGATGCACCAATTTTGAAAATTGATTAAATCATATTGAAGTAACTCAGCATCAGCAGTATTGCTTATACATTTAAAAATGTTTGCGTCATCGGCTAATAGAAGAATATTTGAGTATTTAATAGAGAAGACAATATCGTTAATGAATAAATTGAACAGTAACGAGGAAAGGTGATCTCCTTGTGGGACTCCAGATAATACTAAAATTGGATTGGAAATAAAATGTTTGTATTTTACAAATTGGATTCTTTTAGTTAAGAATGAATTCAACCATGATAAAAAAGGGTTGGTGAAACCTTTTACCAATTTTGAGTTTATACTTTATACATTAAAAGTTCTATTCAAATCTATCAAAAGCCTTCTCAAAGTCTATATATATAACGTCAGTCTGTTGATAATTAGAAAAAGAATTAATTCTTTAATAGATATTAGGTTGGTAATGGTAGATTTGTTGTTGCGGAAACCATGTTGCTGCAGACTTTTTGTTTTTATTTTTATAAGTAATATACATTATACAATCTGTACCAATAAACTCAATAGAGGCACAATAAGAATATGGGGTATATTATTTACAATGACATGTAACCATTGACATAAAAAAAATGCATGTAACAGTTGATGGAAGAAGCCATCCAGACCATCCAGTAATGACACTCCCTGCCCCATAGACATATTAATAATAAATATATGATAATATATAATATATAATAATATGTCTATGCCCTGCCCCCTGGACTTGACTAGCTGTAGACTTAAAATATTTTTGAAGAGAGGCGCGATTTTGGCATTAACGATTTTAAAGAATATTTTCGGGAGAATAGAGATCAAAGATATAGTACAATAGTTAGTAATTAGTGATTTATCCCCTTTTTTGATAACATTGGGGTTATGAATGTAGATTCCACAAAGAGGGGAAACAACTATTACTTAAGGAGGCACTAAATAGATACGTAACGGGACTAAGGGCAAATTTACACATATGTAATAATATAGGTGAGAGACCTGTTTTAATTTTTAAGTTTTCTAATTCAGTAAAAACGTAAATTAAGTCAATTTGGCAAATGTTGATAGAGTTTGGTGATTCAATTCTTGGAGAATTATTTCAAGTGATGGGAATATTTCTTTTATATAAGCAGATGCAAAATAATAACTAAAAAGATTAACGATGTTTTGACCGTTGTTGGTTGTTATTCTGTGTTCAAAAATCAAAAGATATATTGGGATGACATGATGATGATCTAAAATTTTTAATATAAGACCAAAATTGATTAGGATTGGTTTTAAGTGAGTTTTGGATATTATTTAAATACAAGTTATGATCATATCATTTTTTGCATTCAGAACGAAGAGTGGTATAACTGGGTAAAAAAAGTAGAGGGACAAAATAATTTATTAACCACTAACTGAATAACCCGGGAAAAAATGTTGATTAATTAACTCCTTTCGGGTATATTTCGCTATGCATGTGGAAGCAAAATCATATTATTTTTTAATTTTTAGCCATCCCGTTTGCAGTGGCGGTTCTAGCGGGAGGGAAGTTGCCCATACCAAAATTTCTGCTGCCCCTTATTGGGGAAGGTTGAGGAAATGAGGAATATTATTAGCAGTTAAAACCTAATTATAAATCTACTGGTGCCCATACGGAAATGTAGTCCTAGAACCGCCCCTGCCTACTTGGCGTTCCCCTTGAGACTCCCTTATGGTTATATGAATAGTTTATTATCAGGTAGGCAATCTACCTGCGGTAGATTGGGGACACAGCGAGGTGGATGACAAAATAAAACCTATATTACTATATTTTTGTAAATGAAAAAATGTTATAGTGTACCTAAAATAGTATTGAAGTTATAGTAGATCATCCCGAATTTTTAGGAGTATTATCATTTTGGGGGTTATTTTATTTCACTTTATTTTTACGAATAAATCGGCGTTATTGTACTTAGCTTTGTGAAATAATTTGTATATAACCTGCAACCAAAGGCTACCATTAGTAAACAAAAAAATAAGTATCAATTTCAAAGGTGAATCTTAAGATCCCTGTTAATAATATTAAGTAGGTACATAATTATTAAGATTTCATTAATAAAAAAAAATGCACTGTTGAAGTATCTGGGGGAATAATACTTTTGAGCACCGCCCATCACAATTACAACAGCGAGTTGACATATTTATACAGTTGATTAATTTAAGAATTTTATTGTACCACTAATCACTATGTATATTATATATTATTGTAATGAAGTTATTGAAAGCCCCGGGAAAGTTTGTAAAATTAATTAAATTAGCATATTAAAACTTACTAATTTTGAGATTAAAAAATGGTTTTACCACAGAAAATTCTTAATGCACTTGGCTTAAAATGTTAAAAAGCTGATAATATATTATTATTATGGATAATTTACAATCAGAATAACTAAATTTTAATGCAATTAGTCATTACCTGATTCACATAAAATCATAATTTTGATGACAATGAAAACCATCATTCATGTAGTGAAACACTTATACAAATATTCTTGCAATAAAAACAAGGCATAAAACTGTGATGTTTACCGCACTTTTAACTTTATAGAGATGTATATCAACATGCAAGTATCTTCTTACTTTTCTCTTAACTCTGATAGTTATGATTATATTTCAATTGCTTCAACATTTATTTAAAAATAGGAGCAGCGATTGCTAATACTCTTGCAAAGCCAAAGGGGAGGCCACATCTTTAATGTGTATGATTAATTAGCAACAAAAATATATCTTATAAAAGTTATCACACAGTTGGAAAGTAAAAGCAAATTGCTTCACAGAGAACTTATCTGTCAGATGTTCTTAAATAGCACTTTTTGAAATCAAATTAATTTATCTCTCAGTTTTTATACATTTCAGTCTTTAATATTTAATTATAAAATTATAAGTTTCACCCAAAAATCACCAGGTGGTTTGAATGAAAAACTGAAATTTAGGATTGCAGGGCTGCAACTCAAATAATGAACTAAAAAAGTGAGAAAAGTGATCAATTTTTTTTTTAGGTGACTAAAAGTGACTATATTTTTTTTTAAGTGATAAAAAGTGACTATCTTTTTCTTAGTAAAAAACTATTTTAATAAATTATCAAAAGTATATTGCTCACTTGCATTTTATTTTATATATTAATAATAATAATATCAACTCATTTGATATCTTATGAATTAATAAAACAACATAAATATAATATAATAGGCATTTGCCATGTAAATATGTAATAACTGCAATATAGATACTCCATTAATTTAATAATAAAAAGGAACAATAACAACAACTCTTTTGATATCTAAATCGAATGAATTAATAAAACAACATAAATATAATATACAGGGTGTCCCGTGAGGATTTACTCATTGCGATATCTCCTGAAATAATAGAGATATCGTAATTCTGTTTTCTTATTAAGACTCACAGAGGTAAGCACTACAAATAACTAATTTTTTATTTTTTTTTTTATGTTTTGGTAAAAAAGTTAAAAAAAATTATTTTTTTAATTAATTATTTAAAAAAATATTGAAGATTGCCATTTTGTAGAGTTAATTTTTCTGAAAATATTGATGTTTCAACATTTTAATTTCATTAATTTCCTGATTTTTAATAATTTTTTTAATTAATAAGTAAAACGGCAAAAAACCGGTTTTTGTCCGGGCAGCGGTCCCCCTCTACGGCTAATAGGTAAATCCTCACGGGGCACCCTGTATATAATATCTAATCAGTTTAATTACTTCCTAATGATAATTTAAAATATGAGAGACCATTATGCCGCACCATTATCAAAGATTTTAATCACGGATGTAACACGACTATAATGGTACAATACAATATATTATATATATGCGAATATTGTAAGGGTAAAATTAAATTAACAGAATTTTAAAAATTACTTGATTAAAATTATTTTTGGTTTCTTTCATGAAACATTATAATAAATGGCTATAAGTGAGAAAAGTGAGAAAAGTGACAGTTTTCGAAATATAGTGACAAAAAGTAACCAAACCAAAAAAAAGTGACAAAAAGTGAGAAAAGTGACAGAGTTGCAGCCCTGGGCCCGATTGGTTTGGATTTCTTAAATTTAAAAAAAAAAAAGTGTCCATTACTCTATAAAAATTATTACACTTGCTGCATTCAAGGAATGCACTTTTTAAAATTAAATTAATTTTATGTGACAGTATATTTATGTAATTTTAAAAAATGTAAAGTAACAATCTTGTTAGACACCACAAAAAATTACTTATTAAGCTCAGTTCCACTTTTTTTTATGTTGTATTTTTAAATGTATATGCAACAACACTTTACATATTAATACATTCAAACGGTTTAGTTTTCTTTATCATAATAGTGAAAAATGTTTATTTTCCTTTAAGGTATTTGTAAGCAGTGATTTCCTGTCATTATCCAGCATACTTACAACACCGTTTTAATAGATGTGTTCTATTTCGAACCTTCTAATTGATCTAGAGAAGTAATAAGAAATCAGAAAACATTACAAATGTTACCATTTTACTTTATTTCAAATTCCCATATTTTTGATTTTATTCTCATAAAACTCAAGTTATATAAAAAATATTTCTATTCTAAGAGACACTGTCAAGTAGACTTAATCTCTTACTTTGATCAATTATTGATTAGAAATATAACACACCTATTGAGCTTGTGTAAGACGAAGACCGAGAATAAAAAAAAAGTTCCTACTTGACCTATAATAATTTACTACTAATTATAAGAAACAAATTCTCATATCATAATCCCATAGTTTAAGTCAAAAGATATAGGATGTAATGACCAAACACAATTGTTGGATAAAGAATTAATACAAAATAGTAATTCTGTTTAAAATAGAAATGATTATCATTTTTTATAAAATAAAAAACAAGTAACACTAAAAATGGAGTGTACTAATGTATTGATCAGCAGAAAGCAATTAAATTAAATGTATCCTTTAACTTTTGAATAAAATAAAAAAAGAGTTTATATATTAGGAAAGAAATACTGTATCAGAAGTCTAATTTTTTACACAGATTATCAAATTTTGTTTGCTCGGTGTCTTATTACGGAATGAGTACAGATAACTCGGTACTGTATAATATATGGACTTTTAAATGTGAAAAAACATTAGTGTGAAGCACATTGAACATTTCGGGTAGGTCCATCTTCATCATTGTAAGCCTCACGTCTAGATTGTCTCCTAGAGTCATATTCTGGATCCATCTCTACAAGCGATACTTCTTCAGAATTCTCCGGAATAGTTTCAACCGGTCTATAAAATTAAAAAAAAAATATATTATATATTACCGTTTAAATTGTAAGCAATGTATAAGATATTAAATAACTTTGATCAAGACATTCATAAACGCTTGACATTAAGTTGTTTCTTACCTAGGAGGAAGACACGATTCAAGCAGAGGCACCTTTGCAGATGACAAACTCTCAGGGAAATTAACCAGGAACTGAATGATCATACGACCTTTTTCAAATGGGTTCTTATACTGAGGCATACCCTCACCAACAACACATTTGACATCACCGTGTTTCAAAACTTCACCTATAATTGATTTGTTCATGTTAGCAATACTTTCGAACTATTATTTAAATAATATTTTGAATTTACCGGCTACAGCAGTAATAACCAAAGAACGTTCATCTAAAGTCTTTATCACTTTCTGGAATCCACACAATGCCTCAACTAATTCAATTTCTAAGCGAAGAATCAAATCAGTTCCGCTTCTCCTACAATTACAAGTATAATAAGAATAGATAGATTACAATTTCATTTTCATTTTGTCACAAGTGCTGCTGTTTACTATCAAATTAATATAAATACTAAACTGTAACTTACTTATATAAACGATGTTCTTTTTCATCCAATACAATTATTATATCACCAGGTTCAAGTCCAGGTTCTTGATCACCTTCTCCATTAAATGTTATTTTTTGTCCATCAACCATGCCTTTGTCTACATTTACTTCCAAAATCTTCCTTTCACGAGTTACCTAAATTGATTATCAAATAATTATTAACATGTTGATAGGTTTGTGTTTAAGTCAATATACCTTTTTTCCATTACAATTTCTACATCTATCTTTGGGATTGATACGTTCACCCTGTCCACGACATTCACTGCACATAGACTGTACTTGTTGTATCATACCAGGTCCCAACTGATGAATTTGCACTTGAATTCCACTGCCTTGACATCCTGGACATTGCTCTACTGCTCCTTTTTTACCACCTCTACCTTCACATTTGTCACAAATAACATTTTTTTCTAATGCTAATTTTCGTACACAGCCATTGTAAAGATCCTCAAGAGAAACACTTAATTGATGAACAACATCTTTGCCTTTTTGAGGTCCATGACGGCCACCACGACCACGACCACCTCCACCAAATTGACCAAAGAACATGTCAAACAGATCCATAGGTGAAGAGAAGGAGTTACCCACTCCACCCTCTTTAAGTGCTTGTTCGCCACCTTGGTCATATAAACGACGTTTTTCTGGTGTGGTTAATACTTCATATGCTTGAGAAATTTGTTTGAACTAAAGTTCAGAAATAATTAACATATGGTATAATTAATAGGTAAATTAAAATAATAAAGAAATTAAAATATGTACTAATGAAAAAATTTATTTTGAACAAAATCAATAATTCATAATGCGTTACCTTTTCACCCTCATTTGGGTTCTTGTCAGGATGGTACTTCAGAGCTAATTTTCTATATGCTTTTTTAAGCTCATCATTACCACAATTAGGTTTAACGCCTAAAATATCATAGTAAGTTGTTTCTTTAACCATTGTTTAACGATTTGGTCCAACTAATTAAATCTGAAACAAAATTATAAATTTTAAAACATAAATTATTGTATCTAAAAAATGTAACTAGACAACTAAAATACCTAGTTACTAAATGTTGTATCAACAATTAATGCAATATCTGTCTTATGCCCCTTGGCCGTTGATCAAGGAATAAATAAATCAAGCGATAATTAATCCTACAATTAATTTAACAAAACGGTAGAAGCGTATTATGAATATTTTAGTAAATGTTTGTTTTTTTTTTATATATATAAATTATATGTTACCATGGATGTTACCAAAGAAGAACAAAATAAATTGTCACATCATTGTGTATTATGAGCAATTCATAAATTATAATTATATAGGTATTAGGTAGGTGTAGGTAATCTAAAAATAATATTTTGAGTCAACTAATTATTGATTAAAAAACTACTTTTTTTCCTCTTTTGACTAATAAGTAAAAAAATGTATTACCTAAGTGTTTTAAGTATTTGCTAGGATACCTGTGTAATCATATCCCGAAAAATCAGAAATATAATGTTTCACTGTTTGCCTATTTTCTTAATAAACATTCTTATAGTATAAATTTAAAATAAATATACTTCACAAAATATTTCAGAAGAAAATACTTCAACCAAAATAACTTTAATTAAAATAATATTCTACCATTCATATTCAAATTAATTAAGTCATCATGCAATGATTGTCAGATCTCAATGATCAACACATAATATTATTATTTAAATAATCCTTTAGGTACCTAATATTGCAAAAATAATAGGTATATCATACATATATATTATTTACAACGTTAGGGCCAGACACATTTGTCTGAAAAGAAATAAATATGTCAGAAATTATATAAAAATATCTAAATTTTAAGTAGGACTGACATTTTAGAACAGCCAAATAACATTAATACAGACTAATGTAATGACTGTAACATAAATTTAGGTCCTATCAATGGTGCGGACCTGAATATATATGTATTTACCGAGGTATCTAATATATAAGCAATACTTTGGATTTATAATAAAATGCACAACAATTGTGATGTTCTGAAAAATGTAATATAAGCACTTTAAATGTACCACATCATATGCATGTTTAAAAAAAAGTATATTATTCTGTAATCATCAAATTTTAAATCAAATAATTAGGTAGTATTCAAATTAATATTTTTTATTGATTGTAAAATCAATATTTATTGGGGGAAGAATAGAACAGTCATATTAATGAGTAAAAAGGTCTATGCTTGAGACTCATTATAATATTAGAAGAATCGTCAATCAAAAACCGCAATTTAAAAAAAAAAAAAAACTTGTAAGACGAGCAAATCCAAAATCAATAAATTAATCGCACCATACAAGTGTCACAGACAATGAGAGAGGAGTAAGTAGCAATAAAATTGCAAGTCATCACTCATCCGGACTATTTACTTTTCCAAATCGACATCGAAATTAAAAATTTCAATGGCAAGACCCCGTCGTCTACACGGAAATACTCGCACGCACGCACAAGCGCACACACACACAAGAGAACATCATTACACATTCGAACTTGTGTAGTTGTGTGTGTGTATATATACAACCAAACACACAAGCGCATACGGCAAAAACGAAGTTTTCCTTTGTCAATATTCGCGAGTCGCGACAACCGACCGCAGGAATCGTTTCGGTTCCGTAGAACTCGGGAAGAACCAAAATCAAAACCACGCCACGCCGAACACCGACGAGGGGGTGTCGCACGTGCCGAACAATGGCGATTTCCTGAAATCATCGGACCCGGGAACGACGATCGAGTAAAAAAAAAAAAGGAGGAAAAAAACAATACGCGATCGGGACCGCTCGCCGCCATCGATCCGCGATAGACACTCGATACCGCGCAAAAACCGTGGTTCACGGTCACTGACGAAGGCGGGGAAGGCAGCACCCCGGACGCGAGACAATGGCGTTACATCCGCCAATCCCGCATTATTGAACGGTTTTATCATTTTCACCCTGAAGGTACTCACCTAGTCTGTGTTGCGACACCGGACCACGGCTACGAGATTTTCCGGCGTTTCTTGAAGGATCTAGGTCCGTAGGTAACGTGCACAGTCGTCCCGTTCTATTATCTAATGACGAACGTCGTTAGCACGCGAAACAAGTGTGAAGCGACGCGCGTCCGTCAATACACGACTGCGTAGCTACGAAATCGGATTGAGAAAGGCCGACAAGTACGACGTTTTATCGAATGCGGAATGAGTGTGTAGTTCTAGAACGTTCGTGCGGCGGCGGTGGTCGCGTTTGAACGATATCTTGCACGTAAATACGCAAACGCGTACTCCTTGACATCGGCCGAACGCTACCCGAACACGCGCTGGTTTCCCCTCGAATCGCATGCACTGCGTGGCAGCCGATTAAACAACATTACTGCCGACCGGTACTCTGGTGTCACTGTATAATGTATTCGGTGTTATCGGCGTATGAGTGTATGACAGTCACGATTTAAGATAATATACCTTAAGGGGATTGGAACTCATGGAAGCGGCGATTTTCTGTCTTTGTCTAACACACGTGCAACATAGGATTATAGACGTGTTCTATTTCCAACGTACCGATTAATCTAGTGAAGCGATAAGAATTCTGAAAACAGATTTGAATTTGTCGTCAAGTCTACTTGAGTCTTGAGATCGACTCATCGACTTTCCCAAATTTTTGATATTTTGATTAAAACTTCTCCAAAAATTGAAATATGGCAATTTTTTAATTACTCTAGTCTTTTTAATATATCATTTTTATGATTTTTGGGGGATAATATCAAAAATGTGGGGAAGTCGATCTCAAGTAGACTTGACGACAAATTCAAATCTGTTTACAGAATTCTATCGCTTCACTAGATTAATCGGTACGTTGGAAATAGAACAAGTCTATAATCCTATGTTGCACGTATGTTAGACAAAGATAGAAAATCGCCCATTCCAATCCCCTTAAATATCTTTAATCGTTGTTAAGCATCAGCTGCAATCACAGATATTATATAGAAATATAGTATTAAGTCATTGCTAAATATTCTATTATTATTGTGCATACAGCATTGCACGCTCTTTAGTAGTTTATTGCATGAACTAAGGTCATGAACTTATAATGAAGATAAACTATCTTATTCGCGATTGAAAGGAAATATAGGTAGCGCACTAGTCGATACTAATGATAAGGCTAACGGGGAACATGGTCGCCCGGTGGCCGAGGCCCGTGCGGCGTGCTCAGGGGCGCATTAAGGGGGGGGCAAAAGGGGCATTTGCTCCGGGCGGAAGTTTTTTGGGGGCGGTACATTTTTGTAATTTTTTTTTTTTTTTGTATCTCAGAGTCAAAAAGAAAACATACAAATTGTATGACATAATGGAAAACTCGGGTTTAAAAAACAACTAATAATAATTAGAACTATCATACTAATGTACTATTAAACGTTATAAATTATGTATATAAAATTATGTCATAGTATGAGATGGGCATTTATATGCAAGCTTCAAACTAGCACCCTCAGTTTATTTCAGTATTTCACCAATCATTTATAAACTATCGCGGTTTATTGGTTCGGAATTTTTCTTTTCATTACAAATATTGACAACTGTTTACGAATTCACGAATTCATTTTTTTTTTTTGTCCGTCATCATCTTTTAGGGCAGTAAAAGTGCTTGGATTTTCTTCAACAGTATCTTTTCTGATAGGAAAGTGAATCTAGTTGGTACTTTGGGGGGGGGTCAAATTGTTATAAGCATTTAAATTCCAAATATTGACAAAATACGTGAAAATGACGAAAATTTGCAAATTATTTCGAGTTAGAAATTCATAAAAAATTTTCTTTTTAAATCTAAGATATGAAAATGTAATGCAAGATTCCTCATAACTCATAAGTTTGTCTACCTTTATCAAAAAAAAAAATGTCTACAAGAATCTCAAATTAAATTTTTATGAACGTTTGAAATTCATATTTTTACAACATTTGATATTCACTCGATTTCTCGTGTAACGATTTTCTAATTTGATTGTAATTAAAAAACGAATGACTGTAGATACTTGAAAATTTTACTAAATTTTTATATTAGCATTTCCTATACACCATATAGTTTTGAAAATATTTTGATTCTTTTTGAGCTATTTACGGACATTTTCAGTTTTCAATATTTTAATTTTTTTTTCTATTCATATCAATAAAATTTTATTTGTATGGTAAAAAAGCTTGAAAATTTAATGCAAAGCTCCTGATATATTGTTACAATAACACTTGAAAAATATTAAAAATACATAGGCACAATTTTTTTTAATAATTATTTAAAATTCAAATTTTGACAAAATTTATCACATTTAAAATTTAATAATAATTTTATAATTAAAAATTTATAAAATGTTCAACTTTTATAGCTAATGATTGAAAATTTAAAACAAGATTCTACATAAATAGGTTATATATAAATTGCTTTATTCACCTTAGTATCATCAAATATACTTAGTAATATCATAGGCTGACTAACCGTCTTCGCTCAGAATCGTTTTTCTTATACAATGATGTTAGTACATCATTGAATTCAAATTTAATACCATCGATTATACAGTGACCCACTTGTACCCTACTGTACAGCAGAGCACCTTTTTTTGTTTATCAAACTTAAATAACTTTTATTTTGGTTTTGATATCGGAAATATAAAAACAAAGTTACAGAGTAAATTTTCTCATTTTTATAGTGTGAACATTTAGTTTCTTAGCTTAGAGTAGAGCCTGAATGTTTTTTATACCCGTGCAAAACAGTTTTGCCTATGTTGTACCTACGTCTGTTATACGGAGACAACACATGTGGGTGTACCTAGCGTCTTCTTTACAATCATACAGACTATTTGATACATTGCACTTTAGAAATTATTGTATACACTATACAAATTAAATCTAATGCAATGCAGAAATATTAGGATTAGGAGGTGTGAACCATAAATTATCCCAGCACCCCCTGAATTCA